CCCCAAAACCCCAAAACCCCAAAACCCCAAAACCCCAGTTATTCATATAATTTTTGAAAAATGGAAGAGAGGAAAAGCAGAGTTTCTAGGACCAGCACTGAAGGAATTAACGACTTCAACTTCTTATCAGACTTAGTCAATGGAAACGATATTGACTTCAAGGAGTACTCCCAGAATGGGGAGAACTTTGATATCTTCTCCACTGTGGGAGGTGGTACAGCTGGTAACTCCAAGAAATCCTTGGAGGAATACTGCATTTTTGATTACCTTGCAGTCAATAAAGACGTAGCCGTCCTTTATGATGAGCTAGGTAGGTCCAATGAGATTCTTGATAGGATTGAGAACATTGTCACTAACTTCCAACAGAAACTAGGCGGTATTGCTGATGATGTATCTAAGCTGCAAGAAAAATCTCAGAATTATACCACAAAGCTGAATAACAGGAAAGCTCTTGAGAAGGAACTTCATGAGTTCCTTGATGGGATTCTCTTGTCTCCTCATTTAGTGAGGGACCTGATCCAGAACGATGTTGACCTGGAATATGTCAAGAAGCTGGAAGAGTTCAACAAAGTGCTCAAAAATGTAGAAGAGGTCAGCAAGCATTCACCTGAGAGCAAGGCTATCACTGACGTCCTTAATGAAATCGAGAAGCTCACCACTCAAGTCTGCTACAAGATCAAGGTATATATGAAGGACAGATTTTACAATTTACATAAGGATAAGACTAATTTTCAGATTATTCAAGAGAGCAATCTTGTTAAATTCAGACCTCTGAATATTTTCCTGAGAGACCACAACCCTGAAGACTTCGGGGAATTGACTACTACTTACTCGGAGTACATGTCCAAGAGGTACCAGGTCGACTGTAGAGAGTACTGCTTGAGCATCGCTAGACTTGTACAAGAGAAAATTACCAAGAATGATGTTGTCATTGTTGAAGAGGCAAAGTACAAGTCTGCCACTGCGGATATTGAGACATTTGAGCTAGAAGAAAGAGAAGCTATTTTGTCCAAAATTCAGGATGATCCAATATAGTCCCATTCCATTACACAAGTCATTCTGATTTTAAAATTTCACTCGAAGAGGCATTCAGAAACCAGAACAAGCTATTGATCAACCTGGTTCAGAAGGAGTACGAGTTCTTACTGAAGTTCTTCGACTTGAAGCCATCCCAGTGCGATTGGATTTTTAATGCCATATTCTCAAATGTTGCAAACTACTTTTTAGACTGGCTAAAGACATCGTGTGATGCCTCGTATGACTTGGTATCCATCCTCATGATAGTGCTGATCAACTCAGAATTCAAAGCTGTCATGAAGGATTGAGGGATACACATTCTAAATTACTATTTTGATCAAATTGAGATGGCTCTTTGGCCTAGATTCACAACTATCTTCGATCATTTCTTGAACAACATTGAGAAAGCCAAGGCTAAGAATTATAAACTCTACAACCTATCTGTGCACTTTACAACCAAGAGATATGTTTCATTAGTACTTATGCTCTATAAGATCGCTGATAAGACAGGTCACAACATGTTGCTCTCTCGACTGACAAAGTTGCAGAATTTGATGCTGAAATTTATCGAAAGTTTATCTGTGGAGAGTTTCATCGGCTCAACTGATCACAAGAGTAAGTTCTTCTTTTTGGTCAACAACATCCATTACATCTATGCGTTGATCAACCAGCTGCACATCAGCATTGAGCTGAAGGACCTGGAGAGATTGGAGAAGAGGTACACTGAGGATATATCGAAGTTCATCACTACAACTCTGAGAGACCAGTACTCCAACATGGTGGACATAGTAAAAGAGTATGGACCTGGAGGCGACTCAGACTCTGGTTCCAGTGATGAAGAGGCTAAGGAGGACTACAAGTCCTCCAACCTTAAGTCTCTTGATAAGAAGAAGCTCGAGATCGTAGCTCAGGAGTTTTCAATGACCTTCAAGGAGAAGATTGATAACGTCATCAAGTTAGTCAGAGACAAGGCTTACTCAGAGAAGATCTCCAAACAGATTCTGCATAAGTACATGAGAGTCCTGATCTATAAGTACTCTACCTTCCTAGAGATAGTGAAGGCTTCACATCCTTCGTTCTATAAGGAAACTATGAACTCGCATTATGGTCTATTGGAGCTCAAGAACATCCTTCTCGAAATTGATAAGAGTTAATTATTCAATATTGGAATTCTGCTTAGGGGTTTTGGGGTTTTGGGGTTTTGGGG